GAAATCTTATTTCTAATATAATTGGCCCTGTTCTGGCACCTCGTCTACAGTCGCTCTCTCACAGACGCGCCGTCGCCTCTCTCTGTCTTTTTTACAAATACTTTCATGGTAATTGCTTAGAGGAGCTGCATTCGCTGGTTCCCAGACTTCATGAATTCAAGCGCCCGACGAGGCTGGCATCCCGCTCTCACCCTTTCACTGTCGAAACTCCTAAATGTAGCCGTCTCTTCTACTCCAATAGCTTCATGTCTCGCACCTCTCGCCTGTAGAACCCCCTTCCCTATTCCAGTTTCCCTGAGAGCTATAATCTCTACCTATTCAAATGTAATGTCAATCGACATCTCCAGTTACCTTGATCTATCCACTATCCTTCTCCTCATCCTTTCCTCTATCACTCCTATCTGATCTTGCTCCAAATCTTCTGTAACCCCTTGCATCCTAGTAGCTTCCTGCCTTGCTTGGGGTGAAATGCTTAAAAAAACCTTGACCCCCCCCAAAAAAAAAACTAGCAGCATAGCCCGGCGTTGCCCGTGCTTGATTCAAAAATCGTACCACTTATACAGCAATCGCTATCACTTGACTTAAAATATTTTTGCCCTTCCTTGCCTTTAAAGGAGTGCCCTTTGCCGTGCTGATGTTGCTACATGCCTTACTTCTTGCCTATCTCACACTGAGAATTTTTTCTAAGCTCTATACTAACATTAAATCTGATACGAAAAAAGATCTAAACAAAATGAACACAAAACGATCAGCTTTAAAAAAGGACTCGTAATTGGAAAAACCGAATGAAAAAAGAATGTTAACAACAAATACTGTTTCACACCTAACCCAGTTCTGTGGAATCAGAATCAACGTTGAGTTTAAGCAAGCGAATGAGCCAATTGAAATAAAGTGCCCTGCAGATTTAAATTTTTCCCACTTGAGACGAATGCAGCGATCGATTTCTTTTTGCATGCTAGCATGCTAGTTAACATTCGTGTCAGTCAGCTGTTGGCTCTCCCGCTGGCCAATAGAATCTTCCTGCCTATTCGTGGCAGCCAGCTATAGGCTCTCACTCTGGCCAGTAGAAAATGTCCGCAAACTACATGAAAACTGCCGTAGAAGCATGAAAAAATCGATTATTTCAACTATCGATGGGAGTTGGGAAATGCAAAGTCGGTCTTGGCCTTTCCCGCTAACTTGGAGCATGTGCATGTAAATTTTGGTGCAAATCCGTCGAAAATTGCGGCCGTGCATTCGTTACAAACACACACACACACACACACACATCCTGCCTTTTATAGATAGAGATAAAAAATGTTGTTTGATGACGAAGACCTTCATTGTTTTTTTTCTTTAATCTTTGTTAGATGTGTATTGCTTTTCATAGGAAAGATAATGTAGTTTCCTGTTATCTTCAGTTTTATAATTCAAGTTGTCATTCGACTAGCCTAGTTGCTAGCAAAGGCACAACTGTCATGTTGTTTAACCTTCAGCTGGGAAGAGAAAAGAAAGAGTTATACCTCTTCGAAGGGCTTTTGTCCAAGGTATATGAGCGTAACAGCCTCAGTTTTAATTTGAACTCGTCCTGCCGATTACATTTTCAGGTTGGATAACCGTTACATCACATATTCTTGAACTGCTGTCTGCAAATGGTTGTTAAATCCATAAACTTTATATTTGGCGCATTCAATCAGATTTCGCTCAAAGGACCTGGCTTGGAAATGACCACAGCTGTTGTCTGCTAGTGTAGCCAGAGCCTGTGCCATCCCACCCTGTTTTCCATCATTCAAAGCACGGAATCGGTATTAATGTTATCGTTCTTGGCCAACGAGTTTCGATGCAAAGGCTGTGAGTCAGTCATGCGACATACAAGAGAAGATGCCGTCTACAGACCATCGCCGACTGCTTCACCTCGAAATCTATTCACTCAATTAATTTCACCTCGAACATTGAAACCCAATAATCAATAAAGCATTTAAATGATAGTGGAATCGATGTGATTGGCCAAGTTCGTCCAATCACATTGATTTACAGGTCATTTGAATATTGGACTCTGGTCAGAGAGCAATACAGTGAGTGTCGTAGAAGTGTGACAGAAATAAACTTCTGACCAATCGTTTTCGATATTTTGTGTGAATGTTCTAAAAGAAAGGAAAACAAGAATAAAAAATGGCGTTCTTTATTTCTTGATAGCTCTGGCTTTTTACTCTAAAATGAGACAAGTCGAATATATTGAAATAAGTTCATGTTGAGTGTTCTGTTTTTAAATTAGTTCCGTGGCCATCTCACTGTGGAGCAACTGTTAATAGATCATTCTCGTAGACCATTAAACCTTCTGTGAGCTTGATCCTCACTATGGGTCCCACATTTGTAATCTTGTGTCGCACTTATGTTAAGGGAACTGCTCGAGTTAGAGTCTTACCGCACGCCTCTCACAGACACCACATTCCAATGCCAGACGTGATACACGCTTGGGCGATCATGTCTCTTTGGATTCATGACTGAAGAGGCAGAAGATATTCCCGCAGTCGGTTGCCGTTTTTTTTCCTGCGGTAGCCTGATTGCTAACCGAGGCGATAGATCCCAGTCTTAACCTCTTCATGTCTAGGGTTAACCGTTATCTTTTTCACATATTCGCATAAACTCTTACCGCTCACAAAGCAACCGCTTTCAGTAAGCCTCTACTTTGAGTGGCCCCGAGCCTTGTATAGAGTGAACATTAGTTAAAAAAAACAAAAAACAAATTAATGGAATATCCCCCAAATTTGTCAGAAATTAATCACATAGAAAACTTGTGGAATATTATTATCGTATCTATTCAAGCAAAACTTATGTGCGAGACAAGAAAAACTGGTGATAGTAAATGTATAGTTAAAACAGTAGAAGCTTCAACAAAATCAATGAATAGAAAACTGATAGAGAATCTCAATGAGACATCACAAGAAACAAGAGCCACTCAAGGTAGAAGGTTACTGGGTGGTGCTGCATGAGCGTAAGAAAATAC